TCCATTCATAGACTAGCATGTAAGAACACCTAATGCTAACTAGTACTAAAGTAGCATGGATCCCACCCTCACCTTAGCCTTGTTGATTGGATTGAAACGGAAGACTGAAACAGGAAGGATAAACTACTGCTGATTTGCATTCAAGAGATAAAGTTTAATATTTCATTATTAAACTTTCTACAATACTTAATTGGTTCGGCCAGCATGTACCAGTCTGACAAAAACAGATATAACTTCTAACGTATACCTCTGTTAAACCCGAACTCAGTGTCCCTGGAAAGCCAAGACTCGGGGCTTTCCAATGATATATAGATCGTCTCCTGGGTCCTTATAGATCGACAGTAAACAAGCCCGTAAGTCCGTTGATCGGATCTAAACACATGAATTCTAGTTTCAGAAAACAGTGATTTTTCCTGATATTCAAATACAATTTGCGAGCAGTCCATACCTCGTAATTCGAATCCAAAAGAAGTTACAGAAACTAGAATCCGTGATCTTTCAAGAGATATAAGAATCACGATCTAATTCCTTCTGAGCCGCCAGAAATCAGCCCCACAAAATAGCAATTCAGAACTGGCTTAACTGAGAAGGCAATGACGGCTAGAGCGAGAACAATAGGGTTTTGCTAGCTGTGCAACTCTGATCTTCCTCCTCTCTTTCGTGGCCTTATATAGAGATATAGGGAGACTCCAGGTTAGGGTTTTGGTTAACTTGGGTTGCGGGTAACGGGCTTTTTAGGGTTTGAGAATTTTATGGGATTGGGCCGTGACACATGATGAATAATAAATTCGGATTTAAATTGAATATTCTTGATAAAATAATGTTTGAATTTTAACAAAAGTTTGAATATCATAAAATGTAATGTTTACGGTTGATTAGATATTTTTGGTTAAAATAATTTTAGTTTGGAAACATATATAGTCTAACATACATTGATATTACGATTAATTAGAAGATTTTACCAGCATCTTAAAATCTAACGTCATTATTTGCAAAGATAAATTGAAAACCTAAAAAAGAAACATTTTATATATACCATTACTATTTCTTGTAATTATTGTTATAGTCAATTGCTGTACATGGAACAGTATGATTTCGTTAAGGAAGTAAATAATTATGACAGTTGAAATTTGAAGTTATTATTATATTTCACGTTTGATTGATTACCATAGTTAGATAGATTCAGATTTTTAATCCAAAACAATCGGATTGATAATAACTAACTTTAAGGAAATCTTAATTGACCAAAGAAAAAAGAAGGAAATCTTAAAAACTAATAATAAATTTCTCCTCAATTCTGTAAATTAAAAAAAAAATGGAAAACTAATATCGATTTAGCATTTAATCATGTAAAGATATACGGCAGTTGCCTTATTAACTCTGTCTCTTTCTCCACTTTATTGGAGAATATTCTATGGATCTTGAGGAGATTTTATGGATCTTGGAGCTTTTCCAGCAATCTTCACCATCGAAACCAAATCTCTCTTGCTTGCTGCTGAAACCATATCCGAGTTCGGTTTGACCCGAAACCGAACTTTGAACACGAACTCGAAGATCCATAAAAGTGGATACAGAAGAGACAATAGGAAAGAGGGCTAAATGAAGTTATTGTGATGGATGCAA